AAGACCTATTGTCAGACCTCACTTTTACCTAGTTATTTAATTTTTAGCGTTAAGAGTCGCATCTTACCATTTACCGCCAAGAATCGCCATAGGCTTTTCCTATTAGAAATCTTAATTGGAACGACATCAGCTTAACATGTCATCCGAAGCTCGCAATCATGTTTTCTTTTTCGGGCAACTTTCTGTATTTTATGCAAGTTTAAATCAAATTATGGGGAGTAAATACACAAATTGATCATGACAATTCACATTTCAGGCATTAATTGATATTTCAGGCCCTTAATTGATGTTTATTGTCCGTGCTTTCATAAAGGTTACTAAACCTTTGTTTGTCACTTAAGACACCATGGCGGCGCAACCAGTGGCCGCTACCAACAAAATGTATACAGCTTTGCGCAACCAAACGGACACCAGGTGAGTAACTCTCTATAGAGCGGTATACGTTTTGTTGGTAGCGGGCGACTGGTTGCGCCGCCATGGGGTCCCAGTGAAATATAGCCCTTATCCGCTTTTCAATGGAGGGAAGTCGAACCTTAACTCCGAACTCCTCCTATGTTCTTCTGAATTATAATTGCGGGTCCAATGACAGTTTAACANTAAAGAAATCAATATATTGACTGTGGCTTCGCAATACATATTTGATAACATTATGTATGTCCGTAAACATATACATTTATTTACTAAGAAAAGTGACGTCCACTTATTTAACACGAGACAAGAGAATAAACTTGCTGTTCCATCATTTAGGTTGCATAGGATAGGTAATTCATTCTTGGGGAAATGTATTACCATATTTAACAAAATACCACACAACCTTGTCGAATTGCCAATAAACAAATTTAAGATACATATAAAAAATACCCTTATGTCCAAAGGGTACTACAAGGTTCGAGACTATATTGATGACAAGGATGCGTGGTCAGTTCAGTCTGCACATATTTGATGTACTTAAAGGAGTTGTCCCAAAATGTATGGAGCCTAGGCCCACAACCTGTACACGTACCAAAAAGAAGGGCTTTTAAATGTACAACAGTTTCTCATTATTCAATTTCTTTTAAATGGCTTAGTTTATTCGCTTAAAACAAAAGATTGTTAAGAAAATAGCAATACTCAACCACAAAAACCATCATAGTGGACGAATGTCATTATGATGACATCTGTCACTTTTGACATTAAGTCGTATCTTGGTGGAGAGTGACCACAGATATGGATTAGAGTAGATACAGCAAGTTGCTAGTCAAAGCGTGCCATTCCGATATGTCCAAATGGACATACATGGTCGAGTGATGTTCATGTAATCCGATTACAACAATCGGATACGATGATTTTACGAGGACAGTAGTACGAACACGGGAGAGAGAAGAAATGATTTACGGATTGACAATTGTAATTAACAGCAACGAGTAACAAATATGTAATTAATTATNTATTTAGACGACGAAATTGTCTAACTATTTATGCCTATAACATATTTGTAGTATTACTGGTTAATGATTGTAACGAGTTGAAAAAGTACTGCTTTTGCGCCAAACGGCGTAAACGCTCTTAAGGTTATTGTCGTTTCCAGAATTCGAGAATAATGCCCATTACTCCAGCTCAAGTTGCTCAAATAGTGTTGCTTAGAAGTCAAGGGCGTACGCAGCGGGAGATGGCTGAAAATTTAAAATAACTACGAAGTGGGGAATTAAGGCATAAGGTGTATACATCAGCGCGCGATGACCGGATTATCTTACTTTCAATATCAAATAATCGAGTTCGCACTACGGTTGAGATACGCTAGCATTTACAAACAGCAAGCCCAGTGAATGTCAGCGAGCACACAATAAGAAGAAGGATGGAGGAACGTAACCTGCATACTCGAAGACCAGCTCCAGGACCAGAACTTCTCCGATAGTTCTCCTTCGTGAAGTGCGACTTAGGTTTTCTAGAGATCATGCAAATTATATTATGTTGAACATAAATTTCCAGGAAAATACCTATTTCCAACATTCAAAGAAAAGTGTATCCTCTTAGAAATAAATAGTTCTTCAACAGCTCAGAAAACGGTGGTTCTCTCTCTCTCTCTCTGGTGGTGCCTAGCTACCAACATCTTACCTAAGTCTGTCACCATTACGACAATGTTTAAGAATTGTTGTGTTTAGCATTTAGAGGTAAAATAGTCAATTTCACCTTCAGTCTGGTCATATCTATCCGTCAGATGAAATGCAGGCCCAAAACTACCTCGTTGTGGATAAAAAAGAAAAAATTAAGTTTAATAAGTAATTTATTTTTGTTAGCCTATCTTCTTGCCCATTATATTCGGTATTTAAGCACGGAGATGCATTATAATAAATATGTAACAATATTAACGTAACTAATAATAATAATAAACATAAACTCACAATGTAGGTATACAATGTAATTAGTTACACATTAAGGACCTAGATTTTAAGATAACAATAATAACTATCTTTTAAATAGCGCAATTAAATAAAGTTTAAAGATGGCGGTAAGTTGACCGCCATATGCTTTTTACCATTCGATTGCGTTTACTGGGAGATAACTTTTTAGCGAGGATATTTTTAAATCGGGTAGTTAGATAATGATTAAACCCACAATAAGGCTGAGTTGCACCACCTTATTTTAATCGTAACATTAGCATAAACCGGTGCTTTTTGTATGGAGTTTGGCACAAAGTTTAAATAATGATTATGGTAAAACAGAGCCAACTATTGAAATGCTAACTGCCAAGATATCCTATTATAGAATTCAATGTGTACTTTTCAATTTAAAAAAAAACCTAAATACTCATTGATTTGCACAAAACAGCTTTTCTTCTACAGAAATACAATTACCTATAACGCAACGAATCATAAATGTGGTTATGACTTAAAGTATAGAAATCAAAAATATTTTAAGACCACTGAATAAAATGGCTGTAAATATTTTTTTAATCCTTGAAAATAGTGAAAAAAATTATCTTTCCAAATAATTTACGTCATTAAAAACAAGAATAAATATTGAGTATAATTATATATTATCATGCATGCTTCATATTTGATTTATAATGATTTGATTAATTTTTATTTGTGTTTTCTTTCGTTTCTAATTAGCTGTCCATCGGAACTTTCCCAAGTCGTTGACTTGCTGTAAATAATCAAATCGTTTTAATAAAGGATTTATTGTTTCTTAGTAAATACTAGTTTCTTTATGTATAAAACTTCCACACGCACATAATGAAATACTTTGGAATTTGCTGTAAGATATTTGTTGTAAAATATTTTCTTGTCCGTATACAAGTATAAAGTCAATATTTTATCTTAATAAAAATATATGTTTCTAATTTGATGTCCACCGCTGTGTGTTCGGCTCGCTGATTGTTTATTACCTATTTGAGTGTGTATTCTCTTTTACAATCGAATTGCCGACGGCTCACAATACCAGCTACTAACCTTTCTGCTGTACGCTGAACTATAATTTAGACGGGGCCGATGGTTGCTTTCAAGACTGTGGCTGCGATAACTCTAAGGGCAGTGGGTCAAGTGCTCACGCGCTGCTCTAGGTCTAGTTGCCTGATAGCTCCAAGCCTGATATCATCGATATATTTTGAAGAAACTAATAACATTCTTATAAATTATATTATATTATCATCACTTACCATCAGGTGAGATACAGGCCAAGATCTTCCGCGTTGTGGTTAAAAATAATTACGGTTTTTTTTTGTATAAATTGTTGATGTGATGACTCTACGATTCTAAAACACCAAAAACAGGTCAAATTAAAAACGCATTTTTTATTTGTGTAAGGCTAACACACAACACATTGTAGAGTACACGCGGCAGGCTATACTTCTGCTACAGAATATAGAGATACCTAGGTAAGTATCGTTGACAAAAAAAATGAATGGAAAGCCTAAATTGAATACACTTTCCATACTACGCCGTTACAACCGCTGCCAATCACAGTCAATTGATAGATTAATTAAAATATTTAACTTCCAATCGTTTTGTAACTTCAACCATTTTGTTTTTGTTAGTACGTAACTACAATGTTTTTCTCCAAAATTTTCATAGTTCTTTATTCTGATATCACTATTATTTTTGTATAATTCTTTCAAACAAATAATCATGTTTCAAATGGGATGTAATAATCACAAAGGTAGAGCTTATTAATATCTCATTTTATAGCATGCAAATTATTTAAACATTATTATTAAACTTTTCTTTTTCATCATTATCTTTCTGCCATTGGATTTCCAATATTTTTCTTAACAACCTAGTCGAAGCTATAATAGTTACCAAATTCGACCATTTAATCATGATTAAAATTGATTGCAAATACGAAAACTCATGTTCGCCCATAATTTCCATCTATTTATAGCGGATACACACGCTTTCGATACTGGAGGTGACACCGAGTTAACGGTAAGGCCTTCTCTGCCGCACTACACTTCACGCTCCGTAGAACTTACCTAATTGCCGATTTTATTGATTTTGACATACGCTTCATGCTGTAGATGGACTTACTCGCAAATTTCCGATTCTAAGCCCAAGACCCAAAATTTATAAATCCAAGTACCTAAGTCCTACCTAATTAACAATTGACGGTAGGTGAGCAAAGTTTAAACCTCATCAACTAAATTTATTCCCGCATCTAATTAAAATATATCTAGTCTAAATTATCAATCAACGTCAGCCATTATAGTTTCGCTGCAACCTCTGCTTAACCACCTACATATTAATAAAGATCATCTCCAATCATTTCAACTTTCTCTCTCTCTCTCGCACACAGCATCGATAAGTACCCTACTTCTTTAATCATTGCAATTTCGAAACAAGCTCAAGTGTTGTCGGTGTCGAATAAATTTTGTATAATGTAAACGTGATAACAATTTAAATTCCTCTGTAACGGGTCCGGAGCCGACAAAAACAACAAACAAACACTGCGGGCCGCCATTGGCCGAGGCGCGCGGGGCGGCGCCGGCGGGCAGGCCACTCCCGCCACGCGCCGCAGTCTCGCTCGCACACCCAGTCCTTATCTTCCACTCCGTTGTGAGAGACGTGTTGCCTGAAAATTTACAAAATAAAGGTGACTTATCAAATTGACATTGCGAAAAGCTCTGTGCGAAACGATGCCTCGTCCCACACGTGAGTCATATGGAGATCAGAAACCACCGTTCTCATATATCGCCCTGACCGCCATGGCCATCTGGAGCTCCCCGGAGCGCATGCTGCCGCTGTCGGAGATCTACAGGTTCATCACCGACCGGTTCCCGTACTACCGGCGCAACACGCAGCGCTGGCAGAACTCGCTGCGGCACAACCTCTCGTTCAACGACTGCTTCGTGAAGGTGCCGCGGCGGCCCGACCGGCCCGGCAAGGGCGCCTACTGGACGCTGCACCCGCAGGCCTTCGACATGTTCGAGAACGGCTCGCTGCTGAGGAGAAGGAAGAGGTTTAAGCTGCACAAAGGGGAGAAGGACAGTCTGAACGCTGAGCTGGCAGCGCTGGCGAGTTTCAACAGAGCTTTTCTGGCGAGGCAGGCGGGTGCGCCGGGTGGGAGTATGCACAACGGGAGTTTGTATTCGCCGGCTGCGTTGTGTTCGCGGCCGAGCCCGGAGCCAGTGGAGGGTCCTGATACGGCGGCGCTGCTGCCGGCGTGTCCGAGGCCGCGGCGCGCGTTCACGATCGACGCGCTGCTGGAGCCGGAGCCGCGGCGGCTGTCGCCCTCGCCGCCGGCGCCGCCGCCGATGCCGCCGCACTGCCCGCTGCCGCTGCCGCCGGCGCCGTACCTGCTGGCGGCGCAGCGCTACCACGCCGAGCTGCTGGCCGGCCTGCAGCAGTCCTGCCTTCCACCGTTGTGGACGTGGAGGGACACCAGTCAATTTTCACATTATACGCTTAATTCATGAATGGTAAGTCTTTTAAAATTATTTTCTATTTCACTTACAATGTGACTCGATATCATGAGAGTTAACCGCAGTTTTCGGTAGACTTGGAGTCAAGGTCCTTGGTTCGATTCCAATGGCTGTGTATTGGTTTTCAAATATATCGAAGGTTGACAATCAAAAGTTCTCATCACATCGGTACTCATGTCATAATTTAGATGATGAAAGAATTTCAATGAACCATCCTATAAGCTTAGTCAATTTATATAAGTCTACCAATAGATGGCGCTGATAAATATGATTGTGTACTATTAGTAGACTGTTGGAGTGATATTGTTGAACTTGCACCTAGGCTTAGGATGCGCGCCATGATAAACGTTTATCGAGGCATTTTATCGATTTTACATGATAAACCCATACATTTGATTTATAAAATCTTTGACAAGATGTTATAATGTTGTGCATCCTAGCCCGGCAGACCATACTTTCAGAAACCTGTACTATAAAAATAATTCATTATGTTGGCGTAGGTACCAACATATTATGTAGGTCTTTCTCTTTAATTGAGAAAAAGAGGCACTATATTTATTTAATTTTACGGCTGAGAAACAAAAACTTCAAACAATAAGGGTATGCAAATCTATTACGATAGATGAAAAAATGCGAAAATAAGAGCTCAGTTTAGTCTCATTTAATAATTAGTTCTACAATTTTTCTACACAACTTTCACAGTTGTCACACACAGTAGGAGTTAATTAAATATGATTTAGGTAAACTACAAAATTAGACTTGAGAGCTTTCAAAACTTCCTTTTATTCCGTTCCGTTTGATCGTGTTGCATATTTGATATTTGACGGGAATAGATACAAGTCCTGTCTTCTATTACCAGCTTTTTTTTACAATAAAATCATTGGTTTTGTGTAAGAATTAAGTACCTAAGTAGGTATAATTATCTATCACTTACAAGTGAAGAAATTATTTACGCAGACAAAAATCGTTTCTTTGTGTTTGCTTTGTGTAAAACGATATTAACGGTAATTGCACCATGAGTTTTTTATTTCAATATCATCAATTCTTGTGTATTAGACTGGTGAATATTGCCTACTTTACGAAAATAATTTCAAATGCTAATAACATAATTTAATTAATGGGGAACAAATTCAAAATTTACCCGTACAACTTTGACTAAAGCTCTCATTGAAGATTTCCTTGATTATAATTTAACTGTTTATTTTAAAAAGCTGTATATTAATTAATTAATTAGTAACTTATGTTATATCATTATATGATTGTATGGGGGTCGCCCCACATACAGATAAGATACAACTAGAAGTCATCTAACTAGTGATGAGAGATTTAATGAGTAGCAATTTAGGCAGATTCAATAATAAATTCTTCATAGAGTTTTAGGTATCATTGTTACTCTAAGGCTGAGTTGCACCACTTAACTTTGGCCGTAACTTTAACGATAACCGATATTTTTTTGTGTATGCAGTTTGACAGATTTTGTCAAAGTTAAAGTAAGGTGCTAACCTAACTGTTCATATACAATAATAGCTTAACGAAAAACAGTAGTTAACAGTTACTTTAAGTAAGGTTAAACTGAGTTACTATTAAGTTAACTCTTGTAGTGAACATCTAATTGCCAAGCCTTTAATTTCATCCTCATTGTATTTTTAGGTGTCCCAACTTATTTCGTTCGGTTTACATTTAGTTTGGTAAAACTATGCCAGATTTTATAAAATTAAACCTTCATTAATGATGTTACAGGGCTCACAGTTACATTTAAAGTTGGCAGTCCATTAGTTTTTTTTAATGTTAGTTTTACTAAAATAATAAGTATCTTTTTAGTAAAAGAGTTTAATTTTCCTTTACTACATATGATACCCAAGGGTCCCTTAGAGAGAAGGATTTTTATTAAATGATATTTTAACTTACTGAATAAACAAAATTATCATTCAGTACCTATATGCCTTCATGTACAGGTACTTCTTACTCGTATATAAATACTCGGTTTAACATTAAATTGCCACAAAATCAGACATTTTCTGACTTAGCTGTTATCATCTTATTTCTATCTCATTGGCATATGAGCCATCAGATGAGAATGAGATCAAATCCAAAGTTAGTCTCAGTCATTAAATGTTAAGTTATCTACAATGCATAGCTATTTATAGCAAAGAATAGCTATAATTTATTAAAATCCACTCGACCCTCGGGTAAAGCCATATTGGCATTCAATCTGAAGCCTCTTCGCTTGTCTTATTAATTCTACTCTGTTTATATATTTTTATTATAAGTTTATTGCATCCAAAAACATCAATAATGGCAAAAATATTCAAACTGGATAAAGGAAACATAAAATACACCTACCTACTATACCTAATCCACAAATCACTGTCCTTTTTCTGGCATTTTAACAGGAAATTTACGAAATCATAATCAATTACAATGTCCAGTTTGCTTGTGTTGCACTTTATATTGCAAGAATCCATCAAACAACTTAATTGGATTAATATTATTATAGTGAAATCCGTTGCCAGCTCTTTATTTAGCAGTCCTAATAATTTAATTACTTCCAAATCAAATATAACTGCGAGCTACGAACTAAATTTCAATCTTTATAGTAAACTCGCCCACAGTAGCTCAATTTTGGTGTTAGTGTATAACCATCTAAAAAAGCGTACTTTAAAATTTTATTGCGCCTTTTATTTTTGATTGGTTAATATAGATTTGATAGCTTCAACAAAATAAATGCTCGGTGTTTATTGCCTATAACAAGATATCTTCAATTTGATAAGGTTGACCATAAGCTCGAATTAAATTATATCACTACACTAGTGCCGCCCCGATAGTTAAATCGTTTGCGAACAGATTTTCAAAAATCAATTTTTTAGTTACAAATTATTATTCAATATACCTAATCAGCTTTCTAAAAGACATCAATAACATAATTTAAGTTAAATACTACGTAATGATTTTGATTAAGAAGTCGGGGAAGTTTTATTAAAATGGTTAAATTCTCATAATTCTATTCTGAAATTAAATGTAGAGCTCCTAAATATTTCACATTAATCCCATATATGGAATCGATTCATCAAGTCCATGAGTCATGACTAGTTTTAAGTGTAGAGCACACTGTGAGCTAAGCTAGCTCGGAGAACGTAGCATTGCTTATAACGAGCAAAGACTAAGGTTGAGTTGCACCACCTAATTTTGACCTTAACTTTAACGATAACCGATGTTTTTGTATGTTTGTCAAAGTTAAAGTAAGATGGTGCAACCCAGCCTAAGACTCCCCGCATTCTACAGACTGACTTTTTAGATGACAGATAGTTAGGCCCGATTCTAATTTGTATATGCGCACTTTCATACAATACATGTCCATTCTGATTTACAGCCCGACCCGACTATCTGACAAATATTTGTAGTCTGCGCCTAGACTTAACCGTGCGTTGAATAGCAAACTGCGGCTAGTTATTATTAATTTAGTTTTCTATTGCCCTGTGTATTATTGTGTTACTAAATTTTTTCAATAAGCCTGTCCCACTGGGCCTAATTCAGCAACCTTAATTCAGGAATAGAGTGTCCGTTTGGTATCATCATCATTTCAGTCACAGGACCACTGCTGAACATAGGCCTCCCCCAATGATTTCCACATGGTTTTCGTTTGGTACACCACCTGTCTATTAATCGTTACAGCATATTTTTCTGGATTATCTGGTAAACCTCTACAACTGGCTCGCCCACTAACTTAAATATGACCGTCTTATTAACGTTGGTGATACCCGTGACTTGCAAGGAATGACTGACAAGGAATGATTATTTCCGCATCTCGGTTCAAATTTAATATCACTCGACGAATAGTGTGGTTACGGGACTACTACCACCGCTCATTCCCACAGCTGCAACTTCTGTGTAGCCAGGATCAACAGCTTGACCGCCAATTAAAACCCAACCAATGAAGGTCAAGTTTATGTCGGGGGAAAGTTAAACTGGCATAGTGTGGATAGTAATCTTAAGTTTACTGTTGATGCTTTGGTTAACCCAGTACCGACCGTTTGTCTTTGACACTCTGTTCGAGGATGTCGTAACGCCACATAAAGCTGTTGTCTCTTGCTTTACAGAAGGAACGTTTAAACACAAACAACTTGGTTAGGAGAAGACAGGGTTAATATTTAAAAAAAAAACTACATTTTCTGCAAACTCGTAAAAATACCAATACACGTTATTACAAAACACGTTAAATCACCAATTGGCTATGGTGGCTTAATTTCAGACACCAGAGTTGTATACCGATAGGATAATTTTTAGCTGTTTTAGATTATATGCTTTTTTGCAATCTAGAGCTTTAACTTTGGTCTATGACTATAGGGTACATGTTTATTCTATTTTACCTTTTTACGATAGAGAGGAGACCAGCATATTCTGATGATCACAGAGAATTACCAACTTGAGGTGGTCAGTGTTCTTTGTATGATACTCCGTACTGCAAGGCACACTTAATCCATGTATTCATTAGGCAACATTTGTTGATAAATTTTTTATGACTAGTGTGAAACAAGTTTACCATAAACACAGGTTTCTGAAACTTGGCCGTCCACAGTTGCTCTCCACTCATAGCGGGGAGCACGGCAACATGTATCATAAACAATGTTTCATCACCTATGTTTATGGACTGTTTATAATCTGTTTACAGAGATGATGAAACATTATGAAACATTGTTTATGAACAGTTTATAAACAGTGTTTATCAACAAATGTTGCCTAATGAATACATGCTTTATCCGCACCGTAACCTAAACGCCTCGAGACAGTCGATACGGTGTTGATCCCTATCCGGGTTGATAAGTGTGCTATGACCCTTAGAGTCATCATTGAGCGTCAACCTCACTCTCCTACTTTCAAAAACACTACCAAAAGTGAGCCTTACTGACTTAACGACAAGGGACACGATGCATTGTTGTACAATAATAATTAAAGATATTGGTTTAATTTTCATGACATACAAACTATGTATAATTGTG